GAGTCTGGTTGTGTTTTATACGCTGTGCCTGAAATTTATCTTGAATTACAAGTTGCAAAATAAAGCAAAACACAAGAAAAGCTACTTTATACGCTTTTTTTTAAAAGGTATTGAACAGAAAAAGTTGTACTGCACTTGGATTCAGATTGTCAAGAGCTATTTCTAACTAGGGTAATTGTAGCTTTTTCATAGTTGCTACAGTTATTTTAATTTGTTTTACCTATTTTTGCTTTTTTAACTATTTTATTAGTTTACAGCACTTGCAAGTCTGATCCCTATCAGGTGTGCACATCCTGCCAAACTTGTGCCCAAATTAACACAGTGAGAAATTGCTAGGAGTCAGTCTGTCTGCTTGTTGTTACAACGTGCACTGTTCAAACTATGATTTTTCTCTGTGCATGCATAAAAAGCATATGGTGAGTCAGTGTGTAGGAGTTGAGCACCAGTGTGTCTGTGGGGGTGAGAGAGGGAGAGCAGAGAGCTGTTTGTGGAGAGAGGATTCAGGCCATGCACCAATAGATGGCACTCTACCCTTTTGTGATTGGCTATGGTGGGCGAGACTGGGACAGATTTAAAAGCATGCATATGTTTCTTCGCAGAATTTGGATGAAAACCTTTACTTTCACCCATTCAGCTCATTAATATTTTGTCTTGAAGAAACAAAAAATATATTATTAACATGAGTGATAGAAAAAGAGTCCACTACCCTGAGAGGAAGGAGGATTTTTAATTAATTTCTGGATTTTCTGTTGTTTAAACCAATAAAAAAATAAGCTAACTTAAATATATTACATGTGTAATTGGTCATCTGTACAGTAGACCCTGCTGAAAGCATGAATGTGTGACACACTCAGATTAGAGCATGCAGAGATGAAGTTACATAAATGTGTGAGTCACTGACTGAACTCTATCTCCACCGTTCCTTTATAACCTCTCATATCAAATCATATGGTCCGTGGGTGCAGTGAAGGAGGCACAATGAGTGTTTAGTGAAATAAAATGCTGCAGATATCTGCAGTGTGTGTAGAAATACAAGAACATATGAAACTATTGGATAAACCCGTCCAAATTCGATCATTTCATTTTAAATCAAGAAAAAAGTAAACAATTTGGGATGTATTTATTTGCTTTATTTATGATTTTCTAACTGATAAGATTTCTGCTGCAAAGAATTGTTTGAAAAGCCTCCGAGGTTAATTATGAGGCTGGTTCTTTTTCTACAATTGTAGTTTTTATACAGCGTGGAAGCAAAGAGTTGTTTTTACACAATATAGTTTTATTGAACATGGTAATGTACAATCCTGTGGGGGAAATGGGCACAGGTTCATTCATTAGCAGGGCTTTTCAGACCCGAAACTGCATATTGTTCTATTTTTTTTTTAAAGAAAACCTGGCCTCCCTTTTACAAAATAAAAAATAAAACTACTCCAGGGCAATGGATTTATAAAACTCATGTTCCAATGAAAATAAAAGTTTTCACACGAGGGAGTCACAAAGTAGACACAGATGCATCAAAATAAATATATTCACAAACTCTAATCAGAGCATCCAGCGTCTTTTAAGTTTTAGCCACAATCTTCAGGTAAATGACAGCAAACAAATACAGAAAGATGGACAAACTCCGGCTAAGTTGAAAAAACAAAGCACATGCCTGTGGGAATAAACATCTTATGAGTTTAAGGGCAGCTTGTTACCATAGTGATGTTCATTTTTTGAAGTCGACAAACTTTTACATTCACAAACCCTAAAAAAGCACAAAAAGACATGCAAGTGGCATTTGCAGTGGTGTGATGGAGCTAAACATCTAGACCAGGGTCAGAGGGCAGATTGATTGGTCCGCTGATGAAAGCAAACGAGCTCAGTCGTATAGAAAGAGTACACACTCTCTCTCTGTGTGTCACACACACACACACACACACACACACACACACACACACACACACACACACACACACACACACACACACGCCCTCCCTGCTGTTTATTTCTGTTGGACTATTTGACTGAGTCCGGCTCTGTGGAGAAACACAGTCACCGCTGGAGATGAAAGCTTGTCAGCACTTTGATGCTCCATCGGGGTTAAGCTTTCAGTCAGGGTTCTCCAAAACAAAGCCAGGGAAAAAGGGCAACACGAGGCAAAACGTCTTTAAGGCTTCAACCGCAAAGACACAAAGGAGAAGAGAGATGAATAAATAGGAGAAAAGCTGAAGCACAAATGAGTTTAGGCTTACAAATACTAAACAAAAGCCATGCAGAATTCCATCATAAAGCAAGGTTAATTTTACAGATGATTTTAGGAAGAAAGACAATTTCTGTGACTTTTAAATCAAATTCCTGCATATTTAATTTTTATGGCCATGATACTTTGTCTTTTTACAAGTATGTCTGTATAAAAACCATTCTTAGATGTTATTCATGTTTGTGTCAAGATTCTGCTAAAAAATCAAAATGTGATCCTTGGCAGTACATAATCCCCCCCCCCCCCCCCCCCCCCCAAGGAAAAATTAATTAAAACTCCAAAAATAATTTAGAAATATATTGTATAGCCTTAATACTGCATATGTGTAACTTGGGGAGTAGTTTATAATAGTTGAGCTAAGCCGTGCCGCTCTGTTTAAAAATCTGAAAACGTTATCTAAAAAAAAAACTATTATTCTATATTTTATGAAACAAACTTTGAATACCTGTTCTTGCTTATCTAAATATACTCACTGTCGACACTTAAAAATACTGCAAAATACCATTTTTAATGTTTGTATTTGAACATTTAGCAGTCACCAGACATGCACAACTAAGTGCTTACTGTAATAATCTTTTTGCCTTGTTCAGATGTTTTTGATGGGTTCCTCTGTTAATAAGGGACACCTCTAATGAGAACGTCTTTGTGGATGATGGATGACGAGAGGAACTAAACAGACCGCCCTATTTTTAGACCACCTCACAGCTTTAACATGTTACCCTCTTTATTTAATTAAAAACACTGGGTAATCATATGCAAATCCAAGCCAGTGGATTAGAAATGAATGTGTCGTGGCATTTCGTATAAGTGATTCTGATTTATTTATTTTCTATTTTTGATGCTTTTTAAAGGAAAAAGCACAAGAAAATGGTCGTCTTTGTGATAAAGTAATTGGCAGGAATTATTTTTAATTTTTAATTAAGACGATTATATTGAATAAAACAATAACGCTTTTGAAGACCTCAATAATCTTTAGAGAAAGAGAGAGTTGTTGCCAGGCTCTTAAGTACATGAGATGGCAAAAAACATTGTGTGTGTGTGTCTGTGTCCAGTGAGTTGTAACAGATGGCTGCTTACTGTATACTGAGCCAGTTTCTGTTGGAAGTTTCTTCCTGTTAAAAGGGAGTTTTCCTCTCCACTGTCACTACATGCTTGCTTGGTTTCCTTAAATAGGAAACTTTTAACTGGGATGTTGACCCAAACTCAATTGGAATGTTTACTTTGTGAAGTGCCATGAGACAACTTTCTTCATGATTTGGCGCTGTGTAAATAAACTGAATTGAATTCCATGACAGTGTCGTGTCCAGATCTTTTAAAATGGGGTGGCCCAAGTGAGGCACAACTTTGTGCATGAGTGGCACCGATGGTTATGCTTTTTTTGTTTTACCCCCAAGCCTTTTGTGAACAATAAAAAGCATATTTAAAGGTAATTTAGTGTGGTGGCACCTGGGGTGGCCAATCAGATTCCAAGGGTGGCATGTGCTACCCCAGGCCACTCCCTGGACACGCCCCTGTTCCATGAGTGGATTGATGCTGCGTCTGCATGGAGAAAAGAGAGCTTTGCGTTCCGGCTCAGCTCTCGGTGAATCTACGTTCCTACCCTCACCTATGGTCATGAGCTTTGGGTGACCGCAAGAACGAGACCGCAGTTACAAGCGGCCGAAATTAGTTCTCTCTGCAGGGTGTCTGAGCACTCCCTTAGAGGTAAGTTGAGAAGCTCAGTAATCCAGAAGGACCTCGGGTAGATCCGCTGCTCCTCCTCCTCAAGAGGAGCCAATTGAGGTGGCTCAGGCATCTGATTAGGATCTTTCATGGATGCCTCTCTGGTGAGGTTTTCCGGACATGTCCAACTGGGAGGAGACCCAAGGGAAGACCCAGGACACGCTGGGCGGATTATGTCTCTCAGCTGGCCAGGGAACACCTTGGAGTTCTCCCGGAGGAGCTGGCCTAAGTAGCTGGGGAGAGGGAAGTCTGGGCCTCCCTGCTTAGGCTGCTGCCCCTATGACCCGACCCCAAATAAGTGGAAGAAAATGGATGGATGAAATCAATTGAATTGAATTAAATGGGTGAGGTCAGTCTTTATGTTCTCACTTCCTACGTTGCCATGATGTCATACCTCAAACTGTTCCCAACAGCAGGTGAGCTGTTTGTGTGTCAAACTGGCAGTGGGATAGCATTAGCTAACTCATTCAGATCTTTCTGCAGTATGTGTTTGTTCTAAATCATCCGCTGTTCCCACAGTAATCAATAAACACCGTTTTACACACAGTTTATAAACACTGTCAGCTCTTTTAATATCACCAGCTGATCTTTGTGGACGCCAGTTGTGTAACACCTGTTCACAAAGGCGTTCAGCAAATACAGATTGGAGATCAATAGAGTTCCCTAACACTGACTGTTCAGAGCAGCATTTTAAACTGCAGTTGTGTCATGAAGTCATCTGTTAGCGGGAATCTCACAACAAACACTGTGATTTATGAGGATCCGCTGTTTCCCTGCAGCAGAAACTCGTAAGCATTCGTTTTAATAACATAAGGGAGTGTGAAGACTGAAACTACTTTAAAAAGTAAAATAATTCCTGTATTAGCAGACAAAATCTAAAATGTCTCAGAATAAAGCCACTGAGAAAGAAACAAATAACTATCATAATGCTGTTATGTGTGCATGTTTAAGTGGGTTTTTCCTCGCTTTTATGTCCGTATATTTCTCCACTTGCATGTCAGTGTGAGTATTCTAAAGGACCGAAGTATACACATCCATCTTTTGAAGATTTATGCTTCACTTCTTCATTCCTCCTTCATTTGGGAGAGTTTTATCCAATGCATGACAAAGAGAGAGGGAGGGAAAAAAGCAGTGTAGGATTAAAACAAAATGAGAAAAAAACAACAGGCTTCAAAAGACTCGTATAAACTGGTCAGAATAAATCCAGTCAGGTTTACATTCTTTTTCACATATGTATCCTAATTATCAGGAATAGAAGTGTTTTGTTTCAAACAAACTTGCTAAATCACAGAGAGTCCATGCATGTTGCACACAGAAAGGAACAAAATGCTGTACATCCAACAGAGTGCCTCTGTTTTGCTCTGCTTCTGGCTCTGATACAAGAGGTATACACTGTTCAAAAAAAATAAAATAAATAAGCACTAACATGTACGTAACTTACTCTTATTCCTTGACATTGGGGACTGATTAATAAAAATAAAAGAAAAAGGAGTTTTGTTTGAAATGGATCCAGAACTGGAGGCCTCTCATGGCTTTGGGCTTCCTGGTCAAGTTGGCAATAGGAGCCGGTGCGTCTGCTGTCAGAACACTCCCAGTTCAGGGGACTACTTGAAAAGAAACACAACGCTGAGGCTGCATAAAAGAGTGCTTGGTGAGAGTCTGTCTTTTTTATGTTGAACTATACAGTGTGTGTGTGTGTAAATGTGAGTGTTCCAGAAAGACACACCCCTAAACAGTGTCCCTGCAAGACAAAAACAACAGAGTTAAATTAGTAAAAAATAACATGTGACATTTTACTATTTGCAGCAAACAGATTTCCCATTTCATCATATCCAAGCATATTGGTATATGCATGCCACCTCCTACACATGCACACCTTCTCAGTTTCATATCCCTCCACATCTGCCTGCACATGGGAGCTAATGCATACTGGTGTGATGCAACAGCCTCCTCCGACTTGCTGTTGTTTTTCAGGCTTGCATAAAATCAAGAGTGAATTTGAAATCTGATTTCATTCCAGTCACTCGCTGTCGATGTTGTCCACAAAGATTGTGGAAAAAGTCCCCCGGGAACCTCGGCCAGGTATTTCACACCTCCACCCTCTCAGCCTGATGTGTTAAAACAGGAGACACTTTTGACAGTACATGGAGACATTTTCCACTGGACAGCCTTGCTGGACCTGTAGCAAGAACTGACAACTGTCTACATGTTTTAAGTTTGGCACAGGGAAGAAGAGTCTTTTTTAAAAACACAGTAGAACATGAATGTGCTGCAAACACTGGCCGTAATTTTGGTGATTCTATTTAATTGTGCAAATCGATTCCTCAGTAAGTATTATTTATTTAGAAATGATAGAAAAACACTTAAATGTATACTTATGTTTTTCCAGATTATTAGCAAAACAACATTTTACTTTAGTGATTTGTGTCAAAGCTCTGCAGTATTCTTAGATTTCATAAAAATAATGGGCTTGTCTGAAATCAGCAATTTAAAACAGTGTGGTTGAAAATGTTTATGCTTTTATGGCCATGTCCAAATGACCGCAAGTAAGATCCCAATATGAGAGTCGCAGATCCCAACAAGCAGATGTTAGATTCAGATGTCAACAATCTGCCATGAACAAAAAAAAAAAAAAAAAAAAAGATGTTTTCTGTTAATCTTCTAATGGTAACTAAATCTGGTAAATAAAAAATATATTAGGATGACAAAAAAGTTCTGGTGTACACATTCCAAGATTTGATTCTATTCAGCATTCAGTCTTCCTTGCTTCATGGTGGATTTTCTTTCTTTATGAAAAAAAAAGATTATATATATATATATATATATAATGCATTGAACTTTTATAGCGCTTTTCAAGACCCCCAAAGACGCTTTCACACACTCTCACATTCACACACTGCTAGTGATGGTAAGCTACTTGTAGCCACAGCCGCCCTGGGGAGGTCTGACAGAGGCGAGGCTGCCATTTGGCGCCGTCGGCCCCTCTGACCACCACTAACACAGGCAAGTTGGGTGAAGTGTCTTGCCCAAGGACACAACAGCAGGATACCCCTGGCGAGAGCTGGATGCGAACCCATGACCCTCCGATCATGAGGCAACCCGCTCTACCACCTGAGCTACTGCTGCCCCAATATATATATATATATATATATATATATATATATATATATATATATATTCCTCCGATCAGCCGACCAGCACCTTCTTTGTGCCACTAGCTCCCGCTGTAAGTCACGCAGGGAATGCGCTTTTTCAGTTTGTGCACCAAAGCTCTAGGACCACCTGCCCCTCCCGATCAGACTCTCTTCCTCTCTTTCCCTATTTAAGTCTTGTTTAAAACTTCACTTTTATTCTCTGGCTTTTAATTCAGTGTAACTTATTCTCTTTTTCCTTTTCTTTTCTATTTGAAATACTCGATTTTAATGGAGTTCTTTTTTAATTTTTTATTGTTTTTACTATGTGTTTTTTTAAGAACTTTGGCCGGCTCTATTGCCGTGTTTATATGTGCTATACAAATAAACGTGGTATGGTATCTATCTATCTATCTATCTATCTATCTATCTATCTATCTATCTATCTATCTATCTATCTATCTATCTATCTATCTATCTATCTATCTATCTATCTATCTATCTATCTATCGTGCGTGTGTGTGTGTGTGTGTGTGTGTGTGTGTGTGTGTGTGTGTGTGTGTGTGTGTGTGTGTGTGTGTGTGTGTGTGTGTGTGGCAAAATGTTGGTATTGCAGCAGCAAAATGGAAATTATAAAATGAACGGGTAAAGAATAAGTTAGACTAAAGCAGTGGTTCCCTACCTTTGTTCACAAGGACTCCCTTCAATAATCTACATATTGAGTATAAACACATTTTATAAATAAAATAGAAAACATTGCAACACTGAATAGAGTATTCAGAGGGAATTTGAAAATGAATGGGAAAAACTGTGAAAATGCAATGCTGTCAGGATTTGCTCCTTCTCCCTCTGACTTGTTGTCCTCGCTCCACTCGTTAAATGTTTACTGGACCCAACTGCCCCTTGTTATCCTACCCACCTGATTCTTGATTACCCTCATGTATTTAAACCCTCTGTTTGTCCCTGTCGTTGTCAGATCCTCATCTTGTCTTCCTTACACAGTTTAGTACTAATATGATTTTCACAAACCTGCTACTGCATTTGTTGAGATTACAGAACACACTAAAGGAACTATAAATGAGGTACAGAGTACTGATACGTTAGGCTGGCAGGGTGATTAATGCAGGGACAACGAGGAAGAGGGACACCAATCTATTCAAGCTGTGTAGCCGTCCTGTTTAATCATAAAGGAGGCAGCATGGAGAAAGAGATGAGGGAGTACCTCAAAGACAGGCAGGAAGTAGCAAGAGAAGGGCAGAGTGTGTTTAAAGGAGTAATTTAGTGCAAGGGGCATCAGACTGGACACATAGACAACCAAGTAAATGCAAGTAGATGTGAAAAATGCATTCATGCAAGCGGTGACAAAACTGGGTGACGGTGGCTGTTGTTACAATTCCCACGAGGCCGAGAAGAAAAACGATAGATAGGGGATTGCTTTTTCTATCGGTCTTCGTTGCCCTCTATCTGAGTGACCTGTAATTGAATGATCATTACACCGAAGTTATGGCCATGGCCCCAGCAGTCAAAAATGAGAATTGAGTTGGAAACAGCATTTAGTGATTTTGATTTATGACCAACAATGGGGAAGTTGTTTTTCAAGCCTGGCTCTCTGATGGCCAATAAATAGGAGTAAGGCTCATCGTCTGCTGTTACCACACACACTCCAGTCAGCCTGCCAGCCAGGCAGCCAGCAAACAGCCAGCCAACCAGCTGGGGCCCCTCATGGAAGGAAGTGTTTTCAGCCAATTTGTTTCCTTCATGTCTCACCCTGAATGGCGCTATTCATTAAAATAGCCTGCAGTCGGTAGGCACTGCTGCCATGGCACATTTATACACTCAAGCGCCTGTATCCTCCCAGAAATACACACTGAAATCAACCTGCACGTACACTCAAACAAACAGAAAAGCATGGAGGAGGGCTTTCTGTTTTAAAAGCAAAAAAAAATACAAACTACGGTCTGCTGTGTGTGCTATATCTGCTTTTATTAAAGGCTACTGGAGCTGTATAATTATCTCTTTAGATTAAAGAAAAAAAAGAAGCACAAGCTTTTATTTAATGGAGGCAATATTTGGATTAAACTGGTTCTGACTTGGAATCAAAAGATCTCTTGTGTGGGTGGTGCATGCATGAAAATAGCAGACTGTGTTGTTAACTGTGAAAAGTGTAACTCATGAACAAGGTATTGTTAAAAAGCTGTGATCCGGTCGGAAAACAGCGCTGCCTTTATTTTCACCAAAGCTGTTGTTCAAAGCAGCACAGCGTCCACCCTATAAATGGGATAATGAATTAACTTTACAAATATTTACGTGCAAATTAGCCTTCTAAATCTTGTGCACCAAACAAACAAGTTTTTTTTATTTGATAATTTTCATTACTATACCACACAATAGAGCTTAACAACTCCTCAGAGGGTAGGAAGAAGGGGTATTCATAGGTAGTTTCAGCTCGTTAAGAAAGAATAGCCAGCAACAGTTTATAAGTTTGACTTCTCCATATTCTAGTCAGAGTTGACAAAGCTCCTCGATGAGAAGCAAAACGTTTTCAAGAAACCAAAGAAATCCAGCTGCCTTCATTCAAACCCCTTTGGATTACCATGACATGGACGACTGAGAACTTTCACCTGCATTTTGTGTACTTTTACTGATTTTAAATGGGACATGTCATGCTTTTTTCTCATTTGTTTTAATAATTCTATAATCGATACAAACCATATTTAGGAAGTTCTTTGCACTAAACCCCTATCACATGAAGCAATTTCGGTAGATTTATTATTTATCATTTCTTTAGCTTCCAGAATGAGTAACTTCAGGGCTCTGTCACTTTAAAGAGCAAGTCACCCCCTACCAGAGTCTTACTCCACTCCCACTTCCTGTTTGAAAAAGGCCAAAAATGCTGTTGCCTGGCAGACCAAGAGGGCAGAGCCGCTAACAAATACACATGTACCAGCTAATGCCATAGTGTACCTCTTAGCCAATAGCAATGGCAGATTTAAATTAAAATGTAGTGCAGAGTTTTTTGCCTGAAGACGGCACAACACTGACAGTTTTAGGTACAATATTTATATTTTAACAAAGATGCACCAAAGTGTCAAACTATTGACTGCACATGTCTACAGCACAATTAGACACTCGTTTATAAAGTTTATTAGCAAAAAAAAAAGTTGGTTTGGGGGTGACTTGCTCTTTAACGAAACAAGCTTGAGCTAGCTATGCCGACCCATTCCCCACTCAAGCTGCTATAAGCTGAGAAGCTCTGATATCTGGAAGGGGCTTTAAGTAGCAGCAGCTCTCTCTTGCATTTTGGATTTGGTTCCATTGTAACTTCCTTGTTTGTGACACCAAAAACAGGAAATTTTTAGGAATTTAGAGGCATTAGAGATCCACATATCAGCTCAAGACGATGCAAAAGGTCAGTCTTGCATAATATGTCCCATTTAACCCAAGGAGTAACATTTTTCACATAGGCTACACACCACTAGCATAATTCATTTGAAAGATGGCCTTTTGGTAACAAATGCAATATAAATATTTTAGGTATAAAATCTTCAAAGCATTATTTTTACTCAAACTGTCTAATTTCTTTGCAATACGTGCTTCCAATTAGTCTCCA